GGGCGCGCCCCTGGGCGGGGGCGGGGCCCGCGCCTGCGCAGAGCTACCGTGGGGCTTGGCGCGACTGTGCAGCCGTCCGCGCCTGCGTGGGACGTTTGCGGGCTTGCTCCCCCGAGCGTCCGCCATCCCTGCTACGTCCGGGGTCCCCCGCAGGCTCAAGTCCCTATCCTAGGCCCACCACACCCCGCAAGCTGGGTCACCGCCTGGTGGCCCCAGCGGCCTGCAGCCTTCCCCCAGGTGCCCTTGAACGTGGCCGTGACCGTTAGGTTAGGTCAGAGCGTCCGCACGGCGCTCAGCGTCAAGGTGGGCGTGAAGAGCGCAGGAGGGGCGCGTCCCTCATTCGCCCACCCACACTACCCAGCACGCGCCCCTGCGCCTGGGGGCGCGGGGGCGGTCCCCGGGCATGGCGCCAGAGTCTGGGCAGCCGCTGCCCACAGGGGACATGTGCCCGCTTGTCATCGGGCAGGGCCACAAGCACTCTGGTGCTGTTTCGCGTTTACCCCTCCCCCCGCCCTGGGGTCTGGTTTGCTCCCGTGTCTCGGTGACCGCAGGCCAGACGCAGGGGTCCAGAGTCACTGCACCTGGGGCCGGACGACCCCAGGGTCTTTCCTGACCCGTGCGCCCTGAGGTGCGGATCTGCGGTCTGAGCCTGGGCCCGGAGGAGGACTGGGGGGCGGGGGGCCAGGACCAGGGGATTCTCTAGGTGGACTGTGGCCAGTTTCACAATGAACCCTGAACCATCAGCTCTCGGTCCCTGGCACCTGTGACTCTGCAGAAAGGGGGTTCTCTGCAGCCCCACGTGGTCAGGTTCCAGAGCAGGAGACAGGGGGGCCCCAGAGGAGCGGCCCCGGCGTGAGGAGGGCCTGGGGCTGTGAGGGCCGGACCCGGGCCACCAGGGCAGGGTGGTCTCCCTGACGCCAGGAGTGGAGCGGCCTTGACCTCTGCCCTCTAGGGCTGTAGGGGTCAGCGGGGTTCTCGGCGGCCCTCAGCTCACCGTGCCAGCTGCGCTCTGCCGGCGCCAGCACCTGCGCAGGACGGTCGGGGGGGATCTGTGAAAGGTGGGGTGCGGCGCCGTCACCACCAGGGCAGGAGGCAGGTGAGGGTCTCGGAGGTCCTCCCAGCTGGCACCAGGCGGGGGCCGGGGCCCTGGATCCAGCTGGACGTGAGCCCTGGAGGGCAGGGGCTTAGGGGCCGCCCCACCGGTGGCCGCCCGGGAGGAGGCCGGCGTGGCCAGGGCCTGCCTGTCCTCTGTCAGTCCTTCCGGAGCCGGGGTCCGTGGGGCAGGGGCCCAGACTGCCTGGTCAGCAGCCGCCAGTGCTGCCCCTGTGGGTCAGGGTGGCTCACTGGTGGCCTCGCCCAGGCTCTCATGGGTCACTCCCGAGACGGACCCAAGCTTGACGGCCAGGTCGCCACTTGCCGCGGGGCTCACGGAGACCACGGGCATCTTCATGTCATCCTTGGCCCCCTGGAAGCCCTCGTCATCCGATGCCATGCCCATCACGTACCAGATGCCCTGGAACTGTGGGCACGGGGCAGGTGGCACAGGGCTCGCTCGGCCAGGCAGAGCCGGCCTGCCTGGGCCGGGGCCTGCACGCTGCCGCCCACCAGGCTCTCGCGGGGCAGCCGGGTGGGCGGGGCGCTCCCGGGGGCAGCTGGCTGGTGTCGAAGGGGACCTCGGCCTGGCCTGGGGTCAGCCCGAGCAGGGCAGCAAGAAGCCGGTCAGCCGGGTCTGCCACATGGCGCAGGGGAGGGCCAGCAGGAGGCCTTCGTGCCCGCCCCTGCCCCGCCCAGGCCCGCTGGCCACAGCCTGCAGGTCAGGGCGCGCCTGCAGCGGCCTGGCCCCGCCGCCCGCCCAGACGCCTCTCCTGGAAGCACATCCTCACAAGTGCCGCCTCGGCATGGACTTCCGGGGAGGTCTGGGCGCAGGGCAAGGTGGGCACCACACTGAGCCGGGTGGGGAGGAGGGCCGGGCTGTGGGGGCTGTGGCCTGGCGGGGGGGCGAGTGGGGTCCTCTCAGGCGGCAGGGGTGGGGGTTGAGGGCACCTGGCCAGCCTGTCCCACGTGGGGCACGGACATTCCAGCCGTCACCCCCCAAGGCCTGTCCTCTGGTGACCAGCTAACCCTGCCCATGGACGTGGCCCCAGGCCAGCCCCTGGGGGGCCCGAGGGCAGTGTGGGCTCGGCCTGGGGCAGGGTGGGTCGGGCGCCAGACCCAACCCGCTGGCTGCAGCCGAGGCAGGTGGTGGCGTGGGCGGCGCTGACCAGGCGTGGGCAGGTCCACGCCGGCGCGGAGGGGCTTAGGCTCGCGCGGAGAACACGGGCCAGCCGGGCCCGGGGAGCAGGCGCCCGGCCCGACGTGTGGGCACTCAGACGGGCAGACAGACAGGCAGGCAGGCCGGTCGCTACGTCCGAAGTTTATTTCTCAGCAGGGTGAAGCCGACGGGCGGAGGCGGGAGCAGGGAGGCTGGGTCCTGGGGTCTTGCAGGAGAGCGGAGCCGGAGCACCCGGCCGAGGGCTGCGGACACCTGGCCGGAGAGGGGCCCGCGGTGGGCGGCCGCACAGCTCCCCGCCAGGGTCCGCTCCAGGCCGCCCCGGCTCCAGGCTCTGCGGCCTCCTGAGCCCCTCCCAGCCCCATCCAGCCCCTCTTACCCCAGAAGCCTCAGGGGACCTAGGTGCCTGGTGGAGCCCCCAAGCCCTGGGAACCGGGTGTCTGCTGGGGCCACCATGCCCACCACACCAGCCGCAGGCGACTTGCTGACCGCCCCAGGCCTGGCGGGCTCTGGGGGTGCAGCCCCACCCTGCCGCAGCCCCCGGAGGGCATGTCCAGACGTCCAGAGGGCAGGTCTCCCCACTGTGGGCGTGGGGTGCAGGCTGAGAGCTGGGCGCGGCCCTCACTCACCTACTTACTCCAGCTCCTCCAGGCACTTATCTGCCAGGAAAGGGCCCAGGAGCCAATCAGCTGCCTGCCCCTCCCGGCAACTCTGGAGGGTGAACCCCCAAACCACAGCCCCCTCACACCCCTGGCCGGCTCCTCCGCCTGGCCCCAGAGGCCCAGTCTGGCCAGCGCCCCGTGCGCCCGTGCAGAGCCGCCCGTCCACTGTGCTGGGGCCCTGAGGCCAGGCGGGCTGCAGGCCCCCAGGACAGGCCCAGCCCAGCGGTATCTGCTGATTATCTGACCACATGCCCCTGGCCGCTCACCCGGCCGGGGCAGGAAGAGAATGGAGTCCTCTGTGAAGCCTCGGGCCTTGGCAAAGGCGGAGAACTTCTCCTCCACGGCTGTCCCCGGGCTCTGGCTGCGGCCTGGAGGGGCGGCTGGCCTCAGCCAAAGGCCTCGGCCACACTGTCCCCGCTGCCCCGCCGCCCGCCCGCCCGAGGCACCTACTGTAGAGCGTGGCCATGCGGAAGTGCAGCCCCGGGCTCTCGGTGTAGAGCAGGGCGAACTGCACGTAGTCCGTCTCCACCACCGCCACCTCTTGGGTGCTGCCCTTGTCTGGGGCCCCAGACAGCCAGATTGGGCGCCTGCTCCTCCCGCCTCGGAGAAGGGTGCCTGCGCCCCCCCCTGGCTGCCTCCCCATCTCCTCCCTCGTCATGGCAGTCACCCCGCTTCTTGGCTGCACAGCGGGCGAACGCTCAGGGTCCACAGTCCCCAGGTAGGTGTCGTGGGGGTCAGGAGACAGTCTAGCGGGAGAGTAGGGGCTCCTGGCGCGACTGGGGAGAGGGCGGGCTTCCTGGAGGGCCACCCGGGGTCAGGGTGGGCGCTGGCAGTCCTGCCCTGGACCCTGGGAGCGAGAGCTGGGCATATGTGCTCGCAGGGCGGACACAGGGGCCGGGGCCCCCAGCTGAGTGGGGCAGACCCAGGCCCAGGCAGGTCTCACCCCAGGGGCCGCCCCCGCCGCCCGGTGACCAGGCAGGGTGCAAGCGCGGCTGCGGTTGGGCGGCCACTCACAGGGGCTGGTGTAGCTGTAGTGGCCGGCGGGGCCCGAGGGGTGCAGCAACATGGTCCAGCTCTCACACTGGTTTTTCCTGTGGGCAGGTCACCCTCGGGTCAGGGGTCACCCGGGGATGTCCCCAGACAGCGAGCAGGGTGGGGCACACTAGTCCCAGGAGCCGGGCCGCCGTCCCACCTGAGGAAGGTGGTGGTCAGATTGAGGCCACCGTCCTCCATCGCGGTCACCTCCGACTTGCACATGAACAGCTTCGCCTTCTTCTCCCGGAACCAGCTCGAGTTGGAGGCGAGGCCGGTGGTGAACCAGCGCCCCAGAAACTGGCGAACGAGCGCCCAGGTGGGTCCAGGCAGCGAGGCCCTCCCAGGGCCACCTGCGGGGGCGCATGAGCGCCCCCAGCTCCAGGTA